TTGGGGTTGTACATTCATCTAGATGAATACTGAATATAAGTAAAAGAAGGTTATTATTTTTACAGATCCCAAATTAGGTTTTGAGTATTGTGTTCAGTTTTGACTCCATATTTTATGAAGGGCATTACATAGTTGCAAAGGATTCAGAAAAGGGTTAGATGGGATGTGATTGAAGAATTAGAAATAATATAGGGAATAGACAGGACATATGCATCATTGTTTTTCATGTTAAATGATAAAATTGGTAGGACTAGGGGTAATATTTAAGATTTGCAGGGTATAAGTCATCTGCAAATTAGACAATTTTAAACAGGGTGGTCAGTTTTTAGTAAAAATTGCCTTCAGACATGATAGATGCAAAAGGACTGAGAGAGGCCAAGAGAAGGTTTGATGAATACTTAACATATCCAAACTGGATATAGGCAAATGGGTTTATGATTAAATTAATGGGGGTATTCACAATGAGCCAATGGCCCACTTTTTGTTCCTCAAGTGTTAAGTACCATCACTGAACTTAGTATCATATTAACATAAGTGTACATTTCTATTACATTTATATATATTATAACTTAAGTATCTTGCTGTTTGTTTTTTACCCACACAGCAAAACTTAACTAATTCAGAATATTAATAATACAAGTTAATTTGTTTACTATGTTGCTAACCTTGTTGTTTGTTTTATATTTAAACTGAGATACTGAATTATGTTTTCCAAATCCTAAATGCTAAAATAAACTGTGATTTAGTGTTTTTAGCACTTCTTAATGAAAACAAAGTAGAAGAAATAAGCAAATCATACTAGTACATATCATATTAAAGGTTATCATTTGATATACAGCTAGAAAAAAATCTTGTAAAATTATCAAAAAAAGTTATGTTGGCTCTTTAGCTTCAACAATGAGTAATGATAACATCTTCCTTACTGAAAATGTATGCCAGATAGATACTCACCCCTTCACAAAACAGATAGCTAATATCTTGCACAATTGCCAAAAAGTTTTCACATACACCAAGCCTTTGAATGGAACTCTCACCCCTGAACCAGTCTATGATGTAATGATCATTAGACCATAACCCTCCATCAATAGGAGGGTGACATCCTCCCAATGCAGTATCCCCTTTTGTGCATACCAAAAACACATTCTTGACAAGGCAAAAGAGACACAGTGGAAATGGGGAAGAAGGATGAGTGGTCCTGTAGAAAGGTATCTCTTGGAAATAGATTTTCACGTAAGCAAAATGTTAGCTTTATAAATGCTGTTCACCTCTCAACAGAACAGATAGCTAGAATATCATATTACAAAGATGATGGAGAGAACAGTATATCTCTCTGATAAATAGCAACAGAAAGGGAAAACTCATGTAATGTGTCACAGTGGGAAACCACATCCTTCTTAAGTAAGGAACATTCTTTGCCCACTACAAGAGGTAGTGCAGAAAGGTGTCATCTAAAGAACTTACTAAATGGTGCTAAAATGTCACAAAGGTGGGCAGAATGTAATGTATACAGTTCTCTTCTTGTTGGCCACTTAGGCTGATTCAGTTACTGTACAATCCAGCTGACAAGCCAAACTATTTTTCTATACTTTTAACAAATAGTGTCAGTGAGTAATTCACTTATGGTACCTCGTGGGTTTTTCACAGTTGTATCCTGAACTTCAAATAATTGTCTTCTTTTTGTCAAAGTCCACACAGGTGGGTTCAATTAGTTTAGAACACCCTTTGACAAAATAAATTATTCTCCTTACCTCTACCAAACTGTTAAACTCACTTTAACATATCAACTGTTAAAGTTATTCCTTCCCATGACAGCTAAATAATAATGCTTACACCAAACAGCCTTGTATATCCAACAAATGGGTTACCACAAACAAGAGCTGGCCTGGAGAGAGGGTAGGGCACCACACCTGGTACTGTTTTTCTTTTGGCTTGGAAGGTAAAATAATACAAACTGCTGAAAAAGTTTTGCTGAAAACTCCATCTAAACAGTAAGCACAGAGTAGAGGCAGATAGAGTTAACACTTTCTGTTATTCCCTACTTGATGAAGATTTAGGGAAAGAGAAATATTTCCTATAAGGCAACACCAGACACTCGGTGGGTTCCAATGTCTTAAGTATACACACACACACACACACACATATTTACTGAATATTCAGGTGTGTTTTTTGGAAGCAGGGCCTTTGAGAGATGATAAAGGAAGGCCAATATCTGATGATTATGGGATGGTTGGGTTATTAAATTTATAGTTTTTTTCAGTTTTTACTAATAAAGATTTAAGCAATATTACTCATCCTTATCAGTTGCTAGATGGAAACAGGACTTGATATAATGATCACATTAATTCTGAGCTTGTTAAAAAAATTGGGAAGTTGAAAGAATGATAAAGCTCCTGGACAAGATGATATTTACCCAAGGGTTTTGAAAAAAGTTAAGGACTGGACATGTGAGTTACTTAATTGTTTGTCTGTTTTAGAGCAAAGCCACACTGAGCTATCTTCTGTGTCCACTGTGGGGAATGGAACCTCAGATTTTAACAATGTAAGTCCATAAACTTACTGCTGTCCCACTGGGGGACAAGCCACCTGCTATTATTTCTCTTAAGTCCTCGAATAGTGGGCAGGTACCAGAAGATTGGTTAGTTAATGTTACTCTTCTTTTCAAAGGAGGTGATAAAAATTGTCTCAATAATTACAGGTCTATTAGTCTTAAATCAATGGTGGGAAATGCCTTTGAAAGTCTGGGAAAACATGTTTTGCAAAATTATTTAATAAACTTTAAAATGTTAATGGATAGTTAATGTAGTTTCATGAGAAGAAAATTGCACCTTACTAATCTTTTGACATTCTTTGAAGAGGTTACAGCTTATGTAAATAAGGATAGGGATGTGGATTTGGTGTACCTAGATTTTCAGAAATCATTTGACAAGGTGCCAAATAAAAAGCTTGTTAAAAAGTTATCTCTGTAGGTATGGGGGGATAGGTTGGCTCATTGGATAGAAAACTGGATAAATGGAAGAAAGCAGAAGTTATCATAAATGAAGTTCAGTCAAACTAGATTAATGTTACAAGAGAGGTACCTCTGGACTCAGTGTTAAGACCTTTGCTCTTTTTGATTTACATTAATAACATAGATAATAGAATAGTCAATAAATGACTTGAATTTGATGATGATATTAAAAGTTTTGGGTGATGCTGGCTATGAGGAGGATGCTATTTATTTATAAAAGAATTTGGAGTATTTGGTGAGTTCGACAAATAAATGGCACATGACTTTTAATTATAATAAATGCAAAGTAATGCATGTGGAATATTACAATTTGAGTATAATTTTGATGGGAAAGACCTTAGCAGTGTATGGAAGAAAAGGATTTTGATGTTCTGGTTGATTAGTCTTTAAGCTAGCCAAACAATGTGGTGTTGCTAATGGTAGACAAATAGGATTTTGGGTAGTATCTACAGAAGTATTGAATACACATCTCAATAGGTTATAATGTTATTGTATAGCTAGGCCACATTTGGAATACTGTGTTCAGTCTTGAATGTATTACATTAGAAATGACACTGAACTGTTCCAAAGAGTTTAGAGGAGGGCTACTTGGATGATACCTGGGATGAAAAAGTTGTCATACAAGCATAGGTTAAGATTTATAAACTTGTTTTCTCTTGTGAAATGAATAGTTAGACGGAATCTGATTGAGATGTTTAAGATTGTTAAGAGAATTGATAATGTTGATGCAGTTACAGCAACCTTCCCCAGTAAAGCTGTTTGGGTAGTGACGCAGAGCCTCAGGAAGACACAATAGGGAGGATAAATTGAGAAAGTGAGTAAGCAAAGAATGAAGACAGGCAGACTAAGAGTAAAAAAAATAAATAATGTGCAATAATTCAACAATTAAGCAAGGGAGAAACAGGAGAAAAATCTTATGAGCTTAAGTGCATAGAAAAAGGTCACTCAAAGGCCAGAAGAAACAATTGGAGTCAACGAACAAATATCACATACCCGAGTTATCAGAGAAGCAAAGGGTAATCGTGGGTGTTCCCTGATTCTCATCAGTGATACAAGTACCAGAAGCAATAACAGGTTGTGGGAATAGATAATCAAAGACATGGCACACTCAGTAAAAATTGCAGGAGGCCAGGGTTCTTGGATCCGAGATGAAGAATGTACAATAGAACCACCCACATGATGTACAATGGTGGTAAAATTGCTCATTGAAAGAGTAACTACAGTTGCTATGTTGCCATTTAAATAAAATAAGACAATTCCTATGGAAAATAGTCTGGATCTTGAAAGTTTCAGAAATTTGGATATGAGATATCATATTGAATAAGATTCCCAAAACCTATTCATGAAAAGTAGGAATATTATTATTTAAAATTTGTTTTTCAATAGGAGGTTTGGTATATCCCTGGTACTTAGGCCTTGGCCATTTTCATATTAACAAAATTAAGATTAATTATTGAAACTCAAACACTGGATTAATAATGCTGGAAAGGATATCACAGAATTTGAAACAAGTGTCTCAAAATCTTGTAGTATGATTAAAAGAAAAAATCAATCTTAAAAATGTGTATCTTTTATTTTATTGAAATCAAAGGAGTGAAGGTAAGGAAGATAACACTTCAAATGTTAACTAAAAGTTGAAAATAATAAGATCAAGTGAAAAAGAGTCATGAATGAATACTGAAGTGCCAAGAAAAAAGAATGAGATTTTGATGATTGCATCATAGAATTGTGCTGTACAGGTGGTAATTTTATTCAAAGGTTTCTTGGCAGTGCCACAAGGTATTAGCTATCTGTTCAGTGAAGAAATGAGTAGTGTTTATGAATATTAATGTTTTAATAAATCTTGTTTAACATCTTACCTCACAAATAAAGACTGATATGTTGATATTGATGAAAATTCCTTTTTTTTTGCTAATGTTAGTTATATATATATATGATAAAACAGTTTTGATGCATCATAAGCAGTAATCAATTACGAAAGAAAAGTAAATACCGTTTTCATTGCGCACAGCTAGGAATTCTCCCTTCTTGAAGAACACAACCTTGTCATCTGAAGATTTAGCAGTATCATGTTGTGAATCAAGAGGAGGAGATTGGAATGGCTGATGTTGGAGACGAATTCTTTTATTTGCACGAGATGAGATGGAATCATTGCTTGTCTGTGGGCATAATTTCCTTTTCTTCCTTTTTGCAGTAGACAGATATAGGTTAGAAGATGATGCCTGTGATTTGGTTGGATTAACTTTTAGACCTGGCATATTCAGAGACATGATTTTGGTAAGTACAACTTTAGATGCAGTCGAAGAACACTGTGAAGTGAGTTTGTTTGGTGTTAGTTGAGATGAAAGAGAAACAGGTGGTGTAGGTATAGCAACTTTTTGGAATTTTCTGTCCACAGAAGATGTGAAAGAATGAGCTTGTCCAGGTAAGGAAGATGAGTGTCGAGTTGATCTTCTCTTGGCTAATTGAGAGCCTACAGAAGGTAAGAAGGCACCAGTAGAAAAACATGGAGATTGTTTTTGAGGAAAAGATGATCCACGCTCACTAGAAGTCGGAAATTTGGTTGGCTGTTGGTCTGACTTCTCAGTCTGTGAAAATTAAAACATTTTTTTCTGAATGTCAACTAGTTTTATACTCTAGACTATTTTATTTGATAATTTATTCTACACAATCCAATTTCCATCATGCAACTACAAGTTATTTTTAGAAAAGCAATTAGTCCACTTTTAAATGAACAGATTCACGGGTATATTTAAAAGGTATTATATTACTTGTTACACAAATATATACAATACGAGTTAAAGTCTTTGTCTGGGTGATATTCTCATGTTAACTGATTTTTTCAAAGAGTGTAAGGTAAGCCTGCTTTATAATGGGAGGACTAGTAGGATAAATACAAAATCAGTTTGAATTTAAGTAGATGAACCGAGGTCAACCAAAGAAGTAAACAGACTGGACATAATGTGTAACACAAAATGAAAGCAATCTTTATTAAAATCAATGGACAAACACAGTGTGCATATTTCCTTTCTGTACACTGGATTATCATCTACTACCGAACCTGTGAATTGATCAGCAGATTTCCTTCCCTCAAATCTCTTCCTGTCAACCAACTTACTTTAGTTCTTGTTTAGCAATATTTAAACCTAATGTTTTTTATTTCATGGGAAATGATGGAATTACCCATAGTGACTAGCACCATCTACATGACTGGTCTTCATTCAACACAGGGGAGGCTGTAGCCTCTCAATATCATCTGCTCTACCAGTGAAGGATACTGCTGTTGTTGACCTTCTTGCACAAAATGCAGCATTACAGCAATATCTCCCACAGACAGAGCAACTATTATTTCTAGAGAATAATTAAGGAACAAAAGCAAGCTAGAATAAAGTCAACTTAACAGTTTTATGCAAAAACTACATAGACTTAGAATTAATAAAAAGTTTTGAAAATGTCTATATTAATATGAAAAGGTAGGAAACACATGCATACCACACCTGAAACAACTTTATGATTTAACTAGTTACAAGCTTACTGCTTACATACACATATAAATTATATTATTGCATATTTTTCCAAAACTATAAGTTTAACAAAAGTGATATCCTTGAAAAAATCTCATTTATGAAAAAAAAAAAAATTGTATTGTTACAATGTATATGCTAAGATTTGAACTCCAAACTTCATGTGAAGGAGTTTTCAGAACATAAATGCAAGTTAACATTTTCCTAATCTGAAATGTATTTCTGATAGATACCTCTGCAAAGAGAACAGCTACATCCCTCACGCATCTGCCTATGAGATTTGCATACCACTAACCTTCAGCTAACTCCCACCTAAAATTCATGTGTTTAATGTGAACTGCACTGGTGCATGATGATATCATTAAAAGGGTGACACAACCTCCATGCATAGTAACTCTCATTAAGCACTTGCACTTGAAATAACTTCATTCTTAGGTGAGGCAAGAAGGAAGTGCACCGGAATAGGGGAGGTTGGGTGGGAATGTGTAAAGAGGAGAGTATCTATCAGAAATACATTTTCAGATTTGAAAACGTTAACTACCGAGACGATAAATCACCTCTTCACACAGAATACCTAGAACCCCTCGTTTTATTGGTGGTGGAGCCAGCGGAAAACTAAACCTAGATAAACTCCCATCAGAAAGCACCAAAAGGGAAAGCCCATGGAATTGTGACACCCAATGACAGGGGCTTCATAGAATAACACTCATGGGAGACAAAATTTTTTCTCAATCAGGGTATACTCTTTCCCCATAATGCAAAGCAGGGAGAGTCAAATAAGCCGCAAGTGTCACATGAATGGATGAAATGAGAACATGACCATCCAAGCACTTGCACATAATGGGTTAGCAAGCCAATAGGTGTAGTGTGGTTAGGGCACAATCAAACCATATGGAGTGTGGTCATCTCGACTTACATGATCAGATTCAGGCTGTAGGGGGTGGGCACACTAGCTGTTTGATGGGTGAGCTGCATTATGCTGACAGTGTTGTCATCTCCCTATTTCTCATCATATCATCCAAGTCCAATCAGTGGTGAGCTCTCCAAAGCAAGGAACTGGTAAGTGACAAAGGTCATCTGAGCTCCACTTGAAGACTGAAGGGGAAATACTTGTTAGGAAGACTTAGAGAAGTGCCTGGATCCCTACTGACACCTGCTGGAAAGGCTTTTTACTGAAAACAGTGCAATGGGTGACTGCAAAACATTATTTTTAAATGTCAGCAGGTGCAAGCAAAAGAAGTGTGCAGTCACTTCTTCGATGCTAGCTTTTTTGCATGATAGTCCATGAAATGGTACAGTCTGGATTGGGCAATTGAATAATTTTGTATAACAAGAGGATACCTTTAGTGATTTTTGTGGAACACCTCATCTCAACAGTGGGTACTGGTATGGCCAGAGTGGATGGGTTAAGCACTTTCCATTACCCCTGGCTTGATGTGGGTTTTGGGAAATAAGAATACCCTAGGAGGCAACATCAGCCATCTGGTGTGAGCCTGTTAGAGCAAAAGGGAGATACTAAGAAAATAAACTTAACCATCTCAAAGACAGTGGGTCAAATGAAGAGTGGCAGCTGAAAGGTGTCAAACTCCTGCAGGAGACAAAACAGTCCAACAATGAAGATAATGAGCAATGAATGTGTGAGGAGTTGGCCACATGTCTGCCTAAAGAATGTAATTTAAGTGCCAGCAAAAACGAGAAACAAGAGAGTAATACAGGAGACAAAGCAGATGCAATGAAATGTGAAAGACCCCGTGAGAAGAATACACTAACTGCAGGAGCTGATGGACCCATCTGGTAAGGATAGAAGGTGAGAGGACCCTTGATCAAGAGGGGTCCCAGAGTAGAAATAGACTATGGTGGGGGGACCCCTAAAGGGAGAAATTCATGCCAAGCAACACCAAACTGTACATAGAAGCAAATCTGGGTCAGAAGAAACACATAGGTGAGAGACAGAAGGAAGGGAGATAGAATTATGGAAGCCACAGGTAAGAAGAAAAAGGAAGTAAGTAACAAGATAAAAGCAGTAGAAAGAGCAAGAGGCCAGCAGCTTAAACAGGGCATGTGTGAAAGCATGTAACACCACACTGAGTTTCCAGTGAGGCATTGGAGTCAAATGAGGGGATCAGTGAAGTCGGAAGGATCGGAAAAGAGTGGAGAGGACAGGAGAAGAAAATATCCTGTGGTAACTAGAAAGGTGAAATCTATTGGATAAGGCTACCCAATAACCAACAATGCTGGAGACCAACAAAATATGGTTAAACAACCAAGTAAAAAAAAAAAACAATAGAAAAGTGGGTTACAATAGTAGGAAGAGAGTGGTGGATGGTTCAACAACAAAAAACCCATCATTTACATTAATAAACAAACAAAGAGGAAGGACAACAGGAATAGGATAAGAAGGCTAGACAATCAGAGTGTTTGGCCCTAAGGGCAATGGACCAGACAAATCTTACATGTGGAGATGAAGGGATGATACCCCTGGATGAAAAAGGGACATGATATTGAAGCAAATGGGGGGGGTTACTGGGTGGAGGAAAGAGGGACTGAATTCCAATTGAGCCTAGAATAAGAGGTCCAATGCCCAAACACATATAGTCCTGAATCAAGTGCCTCCGAGATGGGAGGCATAAGAAACAGCTGTGGAATTGTCAGAGTGGATCATGACCAACTGATTTACCAGAAGAGATGGGAAAAAGGTACATGTCTAATGAAAAATGAAAAGTATGAGCACGTTGATGTGAAGTGAACCTTCTTCCTGTGCTCAAATGCCAGAAGACATAATGTCATTTAGAGATGTGCCCAATCCAAAAGTAGAGTAAGCATAAAGAGATAGAGATCTTGTTGGAGAGGTAATGGAATTACAGTCATGGTACTGGCATGGTCTAGCCACCAAGACAAGTTCTCAAGAAGAGAAGAGAGGGAGGTTCATAATCAAGGACAATGGTTCCCAAGAAAGTTTCCACCTGTTTCACAAGGTTTACTGGAGAAGGCACATATGTGTTCACCCCAAAGGAATGAGTAGTTTCTGGGAAGCCAAAGAAAAGGTGCAAGAGAAGAACAGTTGAGATAGAGCAAGTGGAAGCCAATTGACCATTTAGAAATGAAAACACAGCCCAATCCATGAAGGTGGTGAGCAAAGGTTGTCATGACTCAGTTGAAAAAATAAGGGACCATTGCCAAGCCAAAGGAAAGAGTATGTAATAGGAAGATTCTGTTTGATGAACAAAACATATAAAACATCTAGAGGATGGGGTAATTGAGGTATATAGAAAGGTGTCTGGCACAGCAACTGTAGTCAACCATTGAATGGGTGTAAAAGACATTTGAAAAGGAAAGAAATTCTTCATCTGGAACTGTGAAACTGGTTGAATGACAATAGGTCAATAATTGTATGCATCCTAGGTCTACTTGTGGACCACCAAAAGGTGAGAGGAAAAATCCCAGGGAAGGGGTGTATGCTGTCTCAATAGCATGTTTAGTCAAAAGACCCAAGACCGAATCCATGAGACACTGAATATCAATAGGCTTGGAGGAAAAAAAAAGGAAATGAGAAGAGGCAAGAGGGGGAGGGAGAGAAATAGAGAGAGAGACCATGAATTAAAACTTGAAAACCCCATCTGTTGGTAGAAAATTGAGACCGAAGGCTGGCAAAATGAGACAGACAGGCACCCACAGGGCCCAACCCGACAAAATAACATAACATAATGCTTAGGGACAACAAGGGACCTATTGGTCCATCTCAGCTGTCCCATTCTCTGAACTAAACTATCAAATGAATAAATTAAAAAAATAAAATAAAAATCTGAAAGTCAGCCTTTATCGTTCATATAGTTATCAAGCTTTCTCTTAAATTCACTTAAATTTACTGCCTCCACAGCACCAAAAGGTAACCCATTCCAGAGGCTAACCACCTTGTTGGAAAAGCTGAGTATCACTCCTACTTTGCCAAAATTTATATTTGTGTCCCCTAGTCCTACTATTCTCACCATTAAGTATGAAAAAATGAGGCATCAACACTATCAACTCCCTTTACAATCTTGAATACCTCAATCAGAAAAACAATTTCAGAGATCTTAATCTCTCCTCATAAGATAACCCCTCCATCCAAGGCATAATACTAGTAACCCTCCACTGAACCCTTTCCAACAATTGAATGTCCTTCCTAAGGTAAGGAGCCCAAGACTGAACACAATACTCTAAATGTGGTCTATACAATGAAATTATAACATCTTTAGATTTATATTCAATATTTCTGTAGATACAACCTAAAATTCTATTTGCCCTACAACTAGCAACAGCATACTGCTTGGATGGCTTAAGAGGCTGGTCAACTATTACACCAAGATCCCTGTTAAAGTTATTCACATCCAAATTATACTTATAATTTAAATTATGATAACTCACATGCATTATCTTGTATATATTACAATTAAATCCCATCTGCCATTTATTCACCCAACTCACTAAATTATCTAAATCCTTTTGTAAATCAACAACATCCTCTTCAAAGCTAGCAACACCCAAAACCTTAATATTATCTGCAAATTTAGGCAATTTATTGACTATCCCTTCATGTATGTCATTGATGTAAATCAAAAAGAGCAAAAGCCTTAAGACTGAACCCTGAAGTACCCCACTTGTGACATTAATCCAGTTTGATTGAACTCCATTTATAACAATCCTCTGCTTTCTTCAATTCAGCCACTCTTCTAACTAATTACCTAACTTATCTCCTACACCAATAGATAGTTTTTTACAAGCCTTTTATGTGGCTCCTTGTCAAATGCTTTCTGAAAATCAAGATACACCAAATCTATACCCTTACCCACTTGTGCATAAACAGTAACCTTTTCAAAAAATGTCAAAAGAATTGTAAGGTAAGATTTTCCTTTAAAGAAACCATGTTGACTATCCAATAAAATTATAAATTTGTTTTAATTAAATGACTTTGCAAAGCATCTTTTATCAGACTTCCCACAACTGGTGTAAGACTAATAGGCATATAATAACTGGGACAATTTTTATTACTTTCCTTGAAAAGAGGAGTGGTATTAGCTAACTTCCAATCTTTCAGCACCTGCCCACTATTCAAGTACTAACAAAATTAGTAGCAAGTGGCTCACATATCCAATTCTTAACCTCCTTCAAAACCCATGGGGATATATTATCTGATCCCGGAGTCTTATTGTTTTTTAAATTTCCCAATTTTATCTCAACAAGCTCAGAATTAATTCAATCATATTGTTACGACAGAGGAAGTCACACGATGCTGGGAGCATGCTCACTGGAGTTTCTAGAAGGATCATGAGTTATCGAGGAACCCCGTGAATATCCCGGTGTTTGCTAGGCGCCATCTTTTTTATTATATAAGTCTGGCAAAGAAAGCCAGAGATATAGACAGATAGATTGCAGAGATATGCAGATAGATTGAAGAGGTAGATAATTGAGTCAAGTGAACAGTAGGCACCGTAAGTAAAGTGTGTGAATCACTGTGATTTATAGTGCGTGTTATAAATGTTGTTAAGTTTAAAGTGACTGTGGAAATTCTGTGTACTAAAAGGTGGATCAAAAAAGAATAAACTAGTTTTAATTAAGAAAGGACTTGTATCGCTGAAGTTCCTCCGAAAGAATTTATACCGGAAATTAGCAAACAAGCAGATACGTAACAATATTGTCCAACCTTGTTTCTGTCTATCAACTGTTCAAGATGTAGAATACTGCTTAAATCTTCATTCATAAAAACTGAAGAAAAAAGGATAATATAATAACCCAGCCATCTCATAATCATCAGATACAAGCCTTCCTTTATCATCCCTCAAGGATCCTACCCCAATTCTAACATTTTGTTTACCCTTAATGTACTTAAAGAAATCCTTACTGTTGATTTTTACATTTTCAGCCAACCTTTCTTCATACATCCTTTTTGACATCCTAATTTCCTGTTGGACTAACTTTCTTGATCTTCTATAATCTTCTTAGTTTCCCATCCAACCAGTTAATTTAAAGTTCCTAAATTTCTAATGCTTTCTTGAATTTTATCTCTTATACTTTTTGTGACCAAACCTGGTTTTTTACCTGCAACTACCCTTTTCTTACCTATAAGGAATATGTTTATCTTGAATATTTAAAAAATTATCCTTATCAGTGTCACCAAATAATTCAGCCACCCAATTGACAACAGATAATTCTTGTCGCATCTCTTAAAATATAGTAATAAACAAGACAAGAAATGATCCAGACATGAGATAGTGGGATGACAGGAAGAAGAGGAAAATCTAGAAGCTTGGTGTGGGAAAGATAGAAGTAGACTAGACTGATCTGGCCATGGAATAGGAGTCAAAGGGCAGTATGGAAAAACGAGGAACTAGGAGAAGGAATGAAGACTGATGCTGGGCTACTTCAGACACACTTTTTAACACTTACAATGAACCATAATGCAACATGCTTTTAGAACTGCTTTTCTCTCAATATTTTTCCATTACTAAAATGTTTGAGCTAATACATTTGTGTATGCTCTTACTTTCAATTCTACAAGAGTAAAAATATGGATAAGAAAGATTTGATTAAGTGTTAAAAATTGGATACTTCTGGACACCAAATAACTAATTAACTGATAGAACTAAAAGCAACTGTTTTAAAGTACTTCAATAATTCACATTTCATGTTTATAAATATTATAATAGTAAATTGCTATTAACAAACCTGTATACTACACATAATTTAAATTTACCTTTTATATTTTGTAAAATATATATATATAGTGATGATTATTGAATTCATTGTAATATAAGATTCTATATTACAATATATTCAGTATTAAGTTCAAAACTTGAAATTTCATACTATTAAAACTTCAGATTCAATATCTTACACTGTAATTAAACCTCATCATGTCAAAATCACAGAAATCCAATGCATAGAGCTACATGTAGGGTGTACAAAAAAGTATTAACTGAACATTTCACAGACAAGGATAAAATCTGGTTACTAAAATTCTCTCTTTCAATTAGTATATTTAGGACTTAACAAAATCATTTATCTAATCACATACTGTACCTTTTCTTGTGAAGTAACTGCACGCTTTGTCTTATTTAGTGGAGTGGAGCCATCTTTATAGACATCAGTATCATAATACTGATCCATGATGTGTGTGCTTTGTTGAGCAGTTTTTCTCTCCAAATATCTTTGCTTGTCTTTCTGCTTTGAACATCTGTTTAAGGAATATCAACAAATTTTTTCAACATTAAAAAAAAAGGCAATACCAATGAATTATTTTTCAAAGCAGCTTATTGAACTACCAAATGTTTTTAAATATTTTTTTTAATTTTTAGGAGAGAATTTGATATGTTTGTTCTTTCAAACTTGTTGCTAGAGCACACTAGTATCACAAATAAAGAACTCATTATCAATCATTCCAAAATCACATTGGACTTTTGAAGATTCAACTTCTTAATCCCTTTTAAGTTTTGTTACTTTTATGCTTTTGTACATCAAATTGTTAATCTATTAAACTTTAGAATGATACAACTCATCCACAGAGATCTACTAAAATTATTTTAAATTTTCATATGATCTACTGATTAGAGAATGATAAATTTTTATATCCAAAACTATAACTTACACTCTAAATAACCACAAATTTATTACATGAGCTATAACAAATGAAAACCTGCAGCACTTTACTTATTATGTCTCCATATAACTTTCCCTCTAACTTTTAAGTTGTGCACAAATATACTTATAAACAGAAAAAAGTTTTTGAGTTCTAGTGTTTCAATAAATTGATATGTGTGAAAAAAGGAACAAAACAATATTTTTTATGACTTTTTCTGAAAACAATTATGCTTCATTAAGTCAAGTATTCAGAACTGTGCTAAGTAAAAAGTGTAACTGATCATATAGGGTTGTTAAGGAGACAGAACTTTGATATTCGAGTGGCATTAATCATTAATGAGGGTTAATCACAGTTTTAAAAAAAAAATCACTTTTTGTGCTGCCCTTGGAACTAATTCCCCCACCACTGACTGTGATCAATATAATGGTCATGATTATGTATTACTGCCCAACCCTACTATCTACACTGTTGCAAGATTCTGTAAAAGATAGTGATGTCAACCTTAGACCACACAATTGTGAGGAATTATGTTGTCTTTATTTCTGTCTGTTAGCATATAATCATATCATTACACATTTATTACACACATAACTTCTATCAAAAATAACTTACAAGTTTCCTACTTAAATCTTCTGCAATCATTTTGGTTAAGCTTAGATTACAGTGTATGATGTAACTCAACAACCACACTACTGGTTGTACAAGATGTTGATTATTCAATGGCTTTTGACAGTGTTACATTTATAATTTTAAACATGTGACACTGATGTATGCTGAGCTGCGGTATATATAAATACTTAACTGCAAAGTGAAAAGAGAAATTAGGGGTTAGTAGTTTTTCATTACTACTGTTACTACTGATGCCTGGTTGAATTAAATATGTTCATCACGTGACTGTCTCTTGTTCCATATTTATTTATTGTCTTGTGTGATTTCTCTTTATGTGTTAATAGATAGTTTCTGAGAATACTCATTATTTGTCTTTATTGAGCTAGTTGAAACAATTCTTGACAACCTAGTTGTTAATGGGTCAGAACAAAATTATCATCTTTTTTTTTTTTACATTGATAAAATTCCTTATACATTTTGGCAGACCTTTCATAGATTCTCTACTATATGTGGATTTTGGTTACCAAGACCACCTTTTACCTTGTTCAGCACTATGTTTATAACTTCTTTTCCTTGTTTATTATCTCATCAACAATACCAGAAAATTACCAGCTTCATTGCAGTGGCTTTTTTTGGTTGGATAGTTTTTTTTTCATAAGTCCATAACCTTAATCTTTCCTAGGCAGCTGAGGCCATAATTCTTAATATACTTGGGGCATGGTTTCAGAGCCCATTACTTTTCTTAAAAATGTTGCAAGTTTTTCTGCTTCTGTGGAAAATATTGAAGGCCTCCTCTCCTTATAAAGTGCAATTAACATACCCAATCCAAGGTTGTATCCACAGAAGAAAACCAAAGTGATAATATTCAGGAAATCTCTAATTTGTACTGTTTGTAATTTTTTTCGTAGTAAAATGTGTGTAAATCTGATAACCCACAAAATGTATCAGTTCTTGCATAACTGGGCATCATCAAATGTATATTGATTTATCAATATCTTTTCCCAATTACATTTAATTTTCATACCTGTTTCAAATCACTAACATTCTTGTTTCAATTAAACTAACTACAGTGAATGACCGCTAAAATACCAACATCATCCAAAGACTTTGCAAGTTTTACGATCACTAAATCGATGAAAAATAATTTTTAATTAAACAGGAAAAATTAATAATAAGTTATTTCTTTACATAATGAAAACTGAACAGTTCATAGAACATTAGTGCTTTGTAGCAACCCAAGAAATTAAAGTCTTAAGGAGAGGAAGAGACTCTCTAGGAAAAAAATCCAAATGGAAGTAAAGTGTAATTCAAAGAATGTCAATAACAAATTAATCAAAACATCATTCCAAGAAATAAATGCATATATAAAGACTGGTGGTATGTATGTAGTTAGTCTTGTTTGTTTTGGTGGTTGCCATAAAATGGTTTAAAGGAAGTTGAAGCCAAAAGTTTAATATTTCACATGTCTTCATGATCAAACAATTAAAATTGCAAAAGATTTAAAGAGTGGAAATATTAATGAAATAAAGTACTATGAACTGACAAAACAAAGAACAAGCTTTTTAGAAAACCTCCAAATTTATGAGGAAAATCTTAACAATAAGTAGTTTCAGTATAACTATGAAGGCAAGTGATGAAACATGGCAGTAGATCTATAATACTGTTACGACAGCGGAAGTCGCGCGACACTGGGAGCATGCGCTGGAGTTTTAGAAAGATTGAGGAACCTGTCGAACATCTTAGCATTTGTTAGACATGCACTCTTATAGTATATAAGCCGGCAAATAAAGTGACGGGATAGATAATTGCAGAAAGGCAGAGATAGAGATGGACATTAGAGACCGTAAGTAAAGTGCTTCAATTGTTCATTGTGAATTATAGCGTGTGTTTACACAAAGTGACTGTGGAAATTATGTGTATTGCAAAGTTGAATTGAGAAAAAATAAACTAGTTTTATTTAAGAAAAGACTTGTATCGCTGAAGTTTCATTCGAAAGAAATTATACAGGAAATTAGCAAATGAACACAGACGTAACAATACTATGGAAACATATTTCTGATACAGGAGTGAGAGATATTCTTCAAAATTGATGGTATTGTGAAGAAGGAGCAGTGTAACATTTTGGCTTACCACATAATACCCAGTAGATGATGTTTAATTATAAAAAACGTTGAAGTTCAGCAGGATTACAATCCAAGACTGACTGCCCTACCAAAAGTGGTTTTTGGAGGAGATGGAAAGAGATACTAATCTAAAAGTTATGAAAGATTAGCAAAAAGACACAATAAAAATTTGTGACATCCATTACAGAATAGTATTAAAACAACAAAAGCTCACTTATCTACAAATACTGCAATAGGTGGGTATTGTACACAAAAATTAAATATTGGTTGACACCTTGATAGTCTCAAAAAGGCTGTTAGTATTCATGCATAATTGATTTCATCATATTATCATGCAGGTTATAGGAAAACCTACTAAATATTTATTATTCAATTTATGGCTCAAGGGAAACTTTTTTTGCCTAATATTGTAATACTGAGAATAAATGTAATATGAAACTCAAACAAAACTTTTCCAAACATTTCTTGAAAACTTGTAGACTGATGTTCTGAACTCAAACTTAACAGTAATACTGTATACTTCACATTTGGTAAAAATGTCAAGTTTCAAAGGTTGTATAAAAGCCTTTAACTTACATTCAAAACCATGTCATTAGTATTAAAAGATTAGTGGCATAGGAAGTGAGGGCAGCCCCATTTTCAGTCTGTCCTACTAAAAATTACTCTCAGGAAAAGTGGGAGAGTGCATAAAATTTAATCCAGAACACAAAAACTTCCAGGGCCCTAAGGCAAGCCCAGCCATAACGAGTGTGTTCACACCTGTGGTGCACATTCCCTCACTTCGCTCTGTCAAATAAACCTTGCTCCTACACACACAGTTTTAAATTGCCTCCTACTCCTTTGAATATTCAGTCTAATAACTTACAGTACCATATCTGTAAATACTGACAAAAAAAAAGCCACACACAAGACAAGCTAAAAAAATCACACTAGTGGATGTTGGGGGAAAGACTAGAAAATTAAATTGTAGGACAGTTGGATAAGAGAAAGAAAAAAACATTGTTATTAATAGAGTTCAGTGAAATTGGACCCTTGTTATTAGTTTAGTGCTTCAACCTTTCCTTTTTATTTACATTAATGATGTTGCTAAATGCATAGTTTGTACACTTTGTGGATAACATTAAACTTACTGGTATTTCTAGCTGTACTGAGAAAGTTAAGGTATTACAGAATGATTAGGATCAGTTGGTTGGTTGAAAAATATTTGGTAAATGACCTTTATTAATACTTATACAAATCACTATTTAGGCCACTTATCACACCATGAAGTGTATCAGTTAGAGTTGCTGACAATGCCAAGGTTGAGAATAAGTGCAAGTTGTAGGAAATGGCAACAGACTTTAGAGAGGAACTAGGGCAGGTCAGAAGAGCTCAAAGATAAGTACAGTTGGTCAAGAAAGAAAAGGGCCACAAATTAATTCTTTCATGGTTTAGGTTAAGGACAAGTAAACTGGTGGTTGGACTTGTGGGATCAGTTTGATGGAAAATTTATTGGAATAGATGGATTACACATAAATAGGGCAGAGGCTAGCTTGTTTGCAAGGGATATTAACTCATGTGAAAAGGTAGCTCTAAACAAGGGCAAACAGTGGTGAGGGCCAGGATAAACTAAATGCAAGAAAAATACTGTCACGACAGCAAAAGTCACGTGACGCTGGTGACACGTGATGAATTTCTCGAATGATCGGGTAGGCCCGAGTGCATTCGAGATGCCCCCTTTGTTAGCATATAAGCCTGGCAACAAAAGCCAGCGGCAATGAATGTATGATAAAGGAAACAGTAGTCATGGTAAGTTTTGGGCGAAGTTATTGAGATGGTGAATTGCTGTGGTTTATAGCGTGTATTATAAAAGTTGTTAAGTTTAAAGTGACGAAAAATGTATTGACTGTGGAATTACTGTGTACTAAACGTTTGTATCGAGGAAGAATAAACTGGTTTAATCAAGAAAGGACTTGTATCACTGAAGTTCCTCGGGAAGAATTTCTACCGGAAATTAACAAACAAGCAGATACGTAATAATACAATATATAGGGAAGAGTATAGTGTAGGAACAATGTCCAGAAATAGTTTCATAGATATAATGAAGTGTTACTATTGTATTTCTAGATGTATTACAAATTAAATAGATGACTTTAGAGCAACTGTCAGAATGGAATATTTTGATATTATGAGAATAAATAAGACTTGGTTAAATGTAAACAATTTTGATGACAGAAATGTTTATGAAATGCGGAGTTATAAGAGTTATAGACTGTTCAACAGAGATAAAGTACAGTGAAAAGGAAAAGGAGTGGCTTTATATGTAAAGTGTAAGTTACATCCTGTTGAAGTTGAGGATATCAAATAATAACAAGGTAGTTTAATTTATTTTGTTTTCTGTTAGTGATTATAAGGGTAGAAGGCTTTATTTGGAACTTGTTAGAGAATACTAGGTGAGACTTGCAAAATTAGTGAGAAACTTTACAGAAAGATTAAGATTACAGCTGCTAGCAAGGTTATAATTAAGGGGAATTTTAATTTTCTGTATACTGATTTGGGATTTTATATCCAAATCATGAGGAAGGCAGATTTTTAGAAACAGTTCACAATAATTGTCTTTATCAATTGGGTATGTATCATACCACATAGGAACAATGCTATTTTAGATGTATTGTTAACTTCTAACAAGGAAATGGTTAAAAGGGTATAGACTGGAGAACATCCAAGTACCATTGATCATTGCTTAATTAGGTTTGGTGTTTTACTGCATATGGAGATCAGAATTACTTATATTTTTAAAAGTTAAAAAAAGAAATTTCAAGGAATACAACAAGAATTGTCTATTGTAAATATGGCTACTGAATTAAATGGAGATGCAAACATTTTTTTTAAATACTCCAGATAGACATGCTCTTTACAAAAAAGAAAAAAAAATGGCTGTAAGTAAAAGACCCTGTTGGCTCACTATGAACCATTTCTGATTTGATAACATTGATGACACACAAGCTTTTGGAGCATTTCCTTATATTTGTTACATGATCTACTGAAAACAGAATTTAGTGGTGTCAGAACCTCTTAAATTCATGGTTGTTGTAGGTGGTGGTGGTGGGGGGGTTAAACCATTTTATATTCTAGTGAATGGATAGAGAGATAAAATTAAAGAAAAATTACAAATTTAAGAAAAATTTTAAACTCACATTTATGATGAGAGACTTAAGAAGATTATAGAAGAACAAGAGAATTAGTCAAACATGACTTTAGGCAATCAAAAAGGGATTATGAAAAGGTTGGATGAAAATGTCAAAACTAATAGTAAGTATTTCTTTAAACATAATAATAGCATGCAAACTTTTAGAGTGGGAGTAGGACCTTTGAGAGATGATAGAGGAAAACTTATTTCTGATGATTATGAGATGGCTGGGTTATTAAATTCTACTTTCTTCAGTTTTTACTGATGAGAATTTAAACAGTATTCTGATTTCTGAACAAAGGCTTAAAGGGAAAGATAAATGAACAATGTGAGGATATTATTATGAGCTTGTTAATAAAAAGCTAGGAAGCTTAATATTTCCCAAAGGGTTTTGAGGAAGGTTAATGATTGGTTATGTGACTCATCATTTGCTAATATTTTTTGTAAGTCCTTAAGTAATGGGCAGGCAGAAGGATTGGAAGTGGTTAATGTTATGTTACTCCTTTTCTTAAGGAAGGTGATAAAAATTGCCTATGTAATTACAGTCCTATTAGTCTTACATCAGTTGTGGGAAAGGTTTTGAAAATATGGTAAAAGATCCTTTGAAAGGTCATTTAACAAAGTTTAAAAGGTTTTTAGGATAGTCAAAATGGTTTCCCTGAGGGAAATTCTTGCCTTACTAATTTTTTGACATTATTTGAAGAGATTACTGCTACATAAATGAAGGTAATGTTGTGGATTTGGTGCATCTGGATTTCAAAAAGCATTTAACAATGAACCACATAAAAGGCTTGTTAAAAAAAGTCTTTCTTTGTTCACAGGAGGATAACTTGGCTCATTTTCTCAAATAATGGCTAAATGGACGAAAGCAGGCTTGTTATATGTATGAAGTTGAATTGGATTAATGTAACAAGTGAGGTACTTCAGGGTTTAGTGTTGGAACCTTTGCTATTTGTGCATTTGATTTATTTTAAGTGAATGGAACAGCCTCATTGGACCAATAGTCCTCTTGTTGTCCATAAATGCTATGCCATATATTCAAGGATATTAACTAAATTGGAAAAGGTTCAGCTGAGGAGGACTACAAGGATGATTACAGTGATGAAAAGGTTATCTATTTGGTATAGGTTATGATCTCTTATTTTCTCTTGGGAAATATGAATAAGTGGTGAACTTATTAGAGCTTCCAATTACTCTCGGAGATAAGAGGGCACAAGTTTAAGAATGGATAAGATAGGCCAAATTCTAGTTAAGACAGTTTTATTTTTCTAACAGTAACAAGGTGTTTAGCTCATGGAATGAATATCCATCAGTGGTAAAGGGGCTAGGCTGTAACGTTACATCATATTTCCATTACTAAAAAATACAGAGTGTGTGTGTGTGTGTGTGTGAAGTTTTTACTTTTTCTCAGTGGTATTGGTAGCTGTATATGTACATCTTTGAACTTGAACTTTGAAAGACCAAATGGCTCCCCTGTCGTTCAAATGTTACAATAAACTAAAGCACATCATAACAACTTCCTCATAGAAAGAATGTCACATCTTAACCAGTTTCACATCTTTAAAATAAATATATATACCGAACGTTATTTGGATTTTATATATATGCAATACACCACAAATTCAATGTAAAAATAACCAAAAAATTTGTGCTTGCAAACTTCATACAATGTACACCAAATTCAAGTGTACTAATTCAGTAATTTCTCATCGTTAGTATATTATAGTTTTACATAATTTCCATCATTCAAAAATTTAATCGTTACACAGATTAACAAACGGACATAATTATATCGTGTATATTTATGTGTTGACGATTTATTTTAAGATCACTGAAGTGGTCTAATATACTGATCATGACAAACCTTTTCTTCCCACTTAACATTGTGGCTTCCGTTAACTTACGCTCACAGCAAGATATTCTATTATAGTTATACTATATGCTAACAGTTCCTACTTCCAATTAATTTGGCAGCTCACACCTTTCATAAAACAATAGAAATAGAATTGCTAGTTTACATATAAACAGTGCGAACTACGCCTCAGCGATACGACACTCCCACACAATTGAGATAACAAGGTAAACAGCAACGGTATAGTTGGATGACGTATAATATGATAAGGTTAAACAGGAAACTAAGAGAAGGCTTATCTTACAGACGAGCAGACAGCGACGAAGGTCAGACAACGATATATATGTGTAGTGGTTATAGTAGTTAAAATCCACAAATTCACTCTTTCATAAAAACCATGTATATCACGATCATCTCTTTCCCTCAAGAAAATACGCACATAATTATATTATACTATTTCTGTCGGTGTGAATATAATATGTTTGCTTCAGAATTGACGCTTGCGAAGGTACACAAAAAGTTTGTTTGTTGTCAAGGTAAAAGCTACACAATGGCCATCTCTGTTGTCACCGCGGAAATCGAAATCCGACTCGAAAGTGGGACACCTAACTGAAATTTAACGTTAATATATTATTATCTATGTATTTCACTGTTCATATATGAAAATAAAAGATATCATATGAGGTCAGGACAAATCTTATGTGCAGTCATACTCATAGTACAGTAGTGCATACCGGTATTAATTTAATAATGAGGGAGATTAAACTCATTATCTCCAAAAGCGAGACATTTTTACGTCCTCTAAAATTTTGTGGGACAACTGGAAGACAGTTCGAAAACCGGACTGTCCCGCCGAAATCGGGACGTCTGGTCACATTACACTAAGCCACCGGGAAGAAGGAGCTATGCAAACGGTTGCTGTCTATAATTTTGAACTGAGGGAGTAGAGAGAAAGCAACTAGTCATTAGCACCACTGCTAATTTTCGAACTATTCTTGTCTGACCAAATTATTGTTTTTGACCGTCTCTAATATACCGCACCCACAGCCCCTAAAATGTAGGGCACGTTTTGCGGGCAATGCTCCGTGAACCACTTCCAATTTGAAAACATTGATAACACACATGCTTTTAGTGTTTCCTTACGTGAGCTCTTGAAAACAGAATACAGTCATTTTAGTGGCGTCGCGACCACTTAAATTTGTGGTTGGAGGAAAGGGGAGATGCAAACCATTTTTTATTTTAACGAATTGAAATAAATATTTTGTTACGTCTCCGTTTGTTAATTGATTTTTCCGTAACTTTGTTCCGACGAAATTTTAAC